TTAATGATCTTGGAGGTATCTATTGGCACTCCAGTTGAGCTAAATGTTGTATATTAGTGATCTTGGAGGTATATAGTGGCACTGCAATTGAGCTAAAAGTTGTATCTAATTATGTAATAAATAACATAGAGAACCTAAGGGAATTTGAAAGAGTGTGTGGGAAGCTTTTAAAGGATAACACTGTCTTCTGCTTCATGAGTTACAGCTTTGGAAAGGTCTCATTATGATATCAGATGCTCATAAGCGTTAGGAAGTATGCAAGCTGAGAAAAGTATCATATTCTTGCTATTTGGAGAAATTGGAACAGGAAGGGCTAGAGCTAATTCTTTGTATAGCGGAGTAGGCCATGTAGGATTTCAGACTCTAAGTAGTTCAAGTTGCAGGTCCCTGTGGTCTCTGTCATGACCACTCTGCTGTTTGAATAGTAAAGCATCCATAGACGTATATAAATGAAGAAATGTCACTGTTTTTTGATAAAACTTTATTTATGGACAATTGAATTTGAATTTCATAAAATCTTCATATTATGCAAAATATCATTCTTTGGATTTATTTCTCCAAGCATTTTGCTCTCAGGTCCTATAAATACAAATGGTGGGGCAGATTTGGCCCAGAGGCCATGGTTTAGAAACCCTCTCCTAGGGCCAAAAAACAAAATAAACCAACAAACCTAGTTAGAACAAATTATGCAATTGTCCTAAGTCTTTCCAGCCATTTGAAATTATGAGGTTGCTTTGGCAAATTTCGGTGCCCTCAGATTGGGGGAGAAAGGAACGGTACTTCAATAGGTCAGTTCTTCCACAAACCTTATCTAGTATATGTTAGAAAGAAAACAAATCCCACCCTAGATTCAAGCATATGTTTTACATCCCTGATCTTGTATGCTTGGGCACATCACCATGGTCTCTACTTAGACACTCTAACAAGCACTTTGCACAAAAGGTTTACTCTTCCTACAGCAGGATTCTTCAACACTCTGGTCGTCTGTCCATCTTCTTACTTTCTGCATGCTTGTCTGTTTCTTCATCTCTTCCAGGCCCGCATAATGGCGTTGACTTCTTGGGGATGCTTCCAGTTCTGTAAAGTATCTAATACAGCATTGAATTAGAACAGCAACCACTTACACAACGCCTCCATGGCCCTACACACACACACACACACACACACACACACACACACACACACGCACACACATGCACGCACACACATGCATGCACACCCTACCCCCCCCCACATGCACACACACACCCCAGCTTGGTTTAAAGTCATCCTATGAAGGGACACCTGGGTGGCTCAGTCAGTTGAGCGTCCGACTTAGGCTCAAGTCATGATCTCATAGTTTGTGGGTTTGAGACCTGCATCAGTCTCTGTGCTGACAACTCAGAGCCTGGAGCCTGCTTCAGATTCTGTGTCTCCCTCTCTCTCTGCCCTTTCCCCACTCATGCTGTGTTTCTCTCTGTCTCAATAATAATAAACATTAAAAAAATAAAAAAAAATAAAGTCATCCTATGAAGAAGTAAGTATCTTCCTGTTTTTACTTATCACTTGACATACAAAATACTGATTTTTGTGGAGTGATTAGAAATTACCATGCTTCCGTTCCAATCTAATTTCTGAAACCATGGCGTTTATTCCACAAATATCCCAAGTATAACTATTTCCCTGAGGTCATACAATGTTTATTCCCTTTTGGTTAGCTTGTCACCAAAAGTCCAGTGCATTTTGCTGAAAACTCATTTGTAATGATTGAGAAATAGAATGTAGCCCTGCTGTACTAAATCTTGAGAAGTGGACATTCCATTTGCTCACAATAGGGAGGGGAAATAGACTAGGGAGATTTTTGAAAATGGTTTATACCAGGTCAGAGAAAGGAGCGTTATGCAAAATTGTTAATGCTAAATGCCCATTCACTCTGGATACAGAGTTTTATCCTTATCAGTGAGTTTTCATATTTTATAAGAAGCAAATTAGAGATTTACAGGTCATTTGCTTTGGATAAAGTTATTTTTAATCTTTACCGATGCCTTAACCTCTGGAACTCTGCTTCTTATTGGAATGTAAGTATCAGAATGACTTGGAGAAAAATCTCAAAAATCGTATTGTTCTATCTTTCCCTCTTTTGGTATTGTCAGTACCTTCAAATGGGAACCTGTTAGGAACATACCTGTGGTTGAACAAGGTATCAGTGACTGCAGCAAGCAGGAATACATGATGGAGAGCCATGGAGTTTCTCTGTGACAGGGACTTGGAAATAATCTATCATAGGACTGGAAATTTGGTTGCCTGGTTTGGGGGAGGGCTTCAGAGAAGCAAGACTTCCCCTTAGATTGGATGCTGTCAGAAAACAGAGGTAAATCCACAAAAAGGTATCTCAATAAATCTGATCAATAAGGAAGGAAAGTTGTGAAGATCAGCCTGTACAAGGTAAAGAAGTATACTCATTTTCCCTCAGAGAGGCAGTCCACAGTACTTTTTGGATAGCATAGGGCCTTGTTTTTGTCTGTACTTAGATAAAATTTTGAAGTGGCTTCGGTTTGTCTCATTTATCATGGTCTCAGAGTAATTTTGTCTGGGGTTGGTATTCTGTGAGATTGTTTAAGTGTAATAGACTATCATGACCTAGCTGTGAGTTGCCATTGCTGGCTTCTGAATGTCAAGGGCAGCCTGTTTTTCTTTCTTAATATCTGTCCCCCGCTCTCCTCTCTAGTACAGCTGTAGTGACTACTTTTTAGTGACACATTTCCAAGTTTTTATTACAAAGTATTTTAAATGTACAGAAAAAGCCAAGATAATAGTACGATACACATCATGCTTCCGTCAAACAACTTAAGTAAACGATTGTAGATACAAGGATTTGAGTACCTCTCTCAAATCCTAATTTTTCCTGGAAGTGAACTGTTTTCTTGAATTTGATATTTATCATTCTCAAGTACAATGCATTTTCATTTCCCTTTTTTAAAGTATACATATGCTATTTTATGGTCTCCCTTCCTTCCAGGAATTATATAAGATCTGACTTTCGCTCACATTTGTGGGCATTTTTTATTCTGGCGTTGTTTCAAGTAGGCACTGAAGCATCAAGCGGCATGAACAGGAAACACCCTATACTGTACATGGGGCCACAGGACGTAATTTTATAGAAGTACCGTTAAGCATTATAAATGGGTTTTAATCTCCCCATCAAGTACTTTGCACACTTGGTTTTCAGTGCCCTACGGTGACGTTGATCACAGGGGCAATTTGTGGGTTTTATTTTCCAAGATGTAGGGTGGATTCTCCTCCTTCCCTCCACAGGCTCTGCTGAACATTTTGACGCTAACAGAGCTGCATCAACTGGAAATTCACATTTTCTGCATTAAAGACCATTTTAATTTCATGAAGCAAAGCCTTGGCTCCTACTTGCAAATAGCACTGAGGAAAGCGATATTGCCCAAAGAAGTGGCCTGGTATATCCAGATATGAATATGTTGAATTAAATACCTGACTTTCATTACCTTTTGCTTTATATTTCCATGTAGCATACACATTAGTTAGACCTATCAGCACCTTCCTCCTTTCAGGAGAACATTTTATTTCTGACAAGACATGTCAATGGGGGTAATCTGTGGCATATGAGACCTGACACTAAAAACACACTCACTTTCACCGAGAGAAGAGCTGACACATTCTGATAGACAGACAGGCAAAGGCAGAACACCAGGAATGATTCCCATCTTTTCTTGCCCTTGCCGCCATCCAGACTGGTAATGAGACTGAGCATCTTTTGTGTAGCTTAAGGTTTCCAAGGACAAGCATGCTTACAACTGTACGATGTCTCTTGTCACCTGGTGTTACTGGGCATGTTTCAAATTAAAGCAGGAACATTGTCATGGTCTTCGGAGGTCTTTAATCTACTTTCACTTATATGGCATGGACAGGATCTAAACACCAGGTGTCTTAGCCTGTTTGGGCTGCTGTCACAAATATCATAAACTGGGTGGATTATAAACAAAAGACATTTACTTCTCAAACCTCTGGGGGTGCTGGGAAAGCCACGATCATGGCACTGGTAGCCACTAGGCAAGTGTCTGCTCCCTAGTTCACAGACCCCATCCTCTCGCTGCGCCCTCATGTGGCACAGGGGCAAGCTAGCTCCCTGGGGTCTCTTATTTTTTTATTTGTTTTTATTTTTTAAAATTGTTTATTGTCAAGTTGGTTTCCATATAACACTGAGTGCTCATCCCCACATGTGTCCTCCTCCATGTCCATCACCCCCCCACACACACACATCAGCCCTCAGTTTGTTCTCAGCATTCAAGAGTCTCTCATGGTTTGCCTCTCTCCCTCTCCCCCACTATTTTTCCCCTTCTTCTTCCCCATGGTCCTCCTTTTAGTTCCTCCTAATCCTCCTATATGTGCAAACATATGATATTTGTCCTTCTTTGCCTGACTTATTTCTTTCAGCATAACACCCTCAAGGTCCATCCATGTTGTTACACATGGCCAGATTTCATTCTTTCTCATTGCCATGTCGTATTCCATCGTATAGATAAACCACATCTTCTTGATCCATTCGTCCGTTGATGGACACTTAGGCTCTTTCCATGTTTTGGCTATTGTGGAGAGTGCCGCTATGAACATTGGGGTACATGTGCTCCCCGGGGTCTCTTATAAGATCACTAATCCCATCGATGCCATAATCATCACCCAAAGGCTCCAGCTTCTAATACCATCACGTTGGCCATTAGGATTTCGACATATGAATTTGGGTGGGGGGGGGGACACAAACATTGAGACCACAACTTCAGGTTTAACTGAAATCCCGAATATTTGGGTTGTTATATCCACTGAGACCCAGATATGTTATATCCACTGAGACCCAGATACAGTCATGGGGATGTCCGGTGGTGGGGACGGGGGGGGCGGGTGGAACAGCGTCCCAGGATTGGAGGGAAATGTCGGAAAAGCAAATTCTGCAAAGTCCTTCTCATTCTGTACTGACATTTGGCCTCTCATCACAGGGGAACACTTAAGAATCTGCCCTCAAGAATATACATGCTGCACCACGGAAATGGAAGACAAGTTAAGCCAGCAGAGCAAACTCGAGTTCGAGAACCTCGTGGAAGAGACGAGCCATTTTGTACGCACCACATTCGTGTCCAGGCACAAGAAATTTGACGGTAGGTGGAATGGTTTCTGATGCACTTTGTTCGAGGTGTGCTTTTCTGAGGATCTTGGTTTTAGTGAAAAACATTTTTTTTGAAGCCAGAGCTTTGCTTTCCCTCTTAAACATTTATAACTTCGTCTATTTTTAGAAAAAGCATGAGCTTTCTTCACAATTCTTGGAGTAATATGTTAGAAAAGCCTGCGTTAACAGAGAGCTGTTTTGAGTTTGTGGTTTGCCTATGAGATTTTTTTCTGAAAGATTGAGCTTAATTTCTCATGATTAGAGTGATTCTAATTCAGGTTTTGTCACATCATCGCTTGTCTTAATTTTTCATCTGGGGATTTTCTTTAAAATAATTAAATGTCATTTAAAGTTATTTGAAATATAGCAACACTTTCGAGAAAGACAGGCTTGTTTTAAGGGCTAAGGACATGGACTCCTTTATTTTGGAGTTTCTTCCTCCAATAATGCAGCCACATTTTACACTGCAGCGACCGTGCCTTCTGCCTAAGGTTTAAATCCTCTATTGATTTCCTGATCATAAGCAATCAGCTTCATTTCTATATTCTACTTGTTAAATAAACAGTTGGTATGAGAAAGCACAGAGTGCAAGTGATTATTACTAGGATGGCAGCATTGAATGCTCTCATCAGTACTTGAGAAACATATTCACAAGCAATCTGATTTTCGTAAACTGAATTAATAATGATCACCATAAGGTTAAAATTCTTGGGTGGTTACGTGGTGTTTAGTGCACTAAGAGATGAATGCATGCGCTGTGCCTCATTGTAAACCACACTCTCAAATCATGGTGACCCTTCCTGGTGGTACCTTTGGGTCATATTAAAGTTGTCATTGGGTGGCGTGACCACCATCATTTCCCTTATCCTCTCCAGGCCGTGCACCGCAGAGCCAGTTTACAAAAGGCTCACCCAAGTTTTGATTTTCCCTTTTCTTTTCTCTGTAGTAAGTAAAATGTTCTGCTTCATTGCGGCTTTTAGCTATTACAGCAACACCGATGCCTTTCACATCAGCCCTCCGCGGTCTAAAAGGCAGGTCCACCCGGTGGTGTTTTCAGTACTTAAGTTGATGTGACATTTTCCTTGTAAGCCAACGGGACTTCCTCTTTTCTGCCAAGTGTTTGAACATTTGCACCTTCTTCTCTGTCCCTCCCTGTGTGTTCAGCTTTCTGTGTGGAGGTGTATGAAAACAATTCCTTACTTAGAAGTGATGCTCTGCGTGTCATTCCCTTGAATGAGGCAAGGGGGTACTTAGCTCTTTCCCTTGATTGACAGATTACAAATTTGGTGACATTCAGGAGCCCCTGAAGAGGCTAGGTGCTGGAGAAACTGTAATGTATCACTTCACATGGAGGCAAATTGAGACACCTTATCGTTTGTTACAGAAAGCATGGAGAGTGATATGCAGCCGTTGACTTTTACCTGTCTTTGGAAAATAATTCTAGTGCCTTTACAGAGCTGTAGGCCAAAATTCTGGTGAGGCAATTCTGGGACAGCATTCGTGATATACACCGTATATTCCTTTTAATAAAAATATTTTTTTGTGAGATAGTTTTATGGGGAGCCGAGTTATTTATTTTCATTTTTTTAAAATATTTTTTTTGAATGCTAGTCTATTTATTTTGAGAGAGACACCATGAGTGGCAGGGGGGACAGAGAGTGAGAGAGAGAGAGAGAAAGAGAATCTGAAGCAGAGCCCGATGTGGGGCTTGAAACCATGAACTCCGAGGTCATGAGCTGAGCTGAAATCAAGTCAGACACTCAACCAACTGAGCCACCCCGGTGTCCCTGATTTATTTACTTTTCTAATGTGTAAAGCTATTCAAAAGGACTGAGTCTGATACTTGTATTCTCATATCAATGACTTTTAAGAATAACTTTTTTTTCATACCAATGACGTTTACTTTTGTTTTACTACAGACACCTCCTTCTCTCTGTCAGCCTCTGTCTCTCCAGATACATTAAGTTGCTGTAATATACTTGAGGGATTATGTCAGTCGGTTTGACAGGACCTTAATTTTTGCTAAGATTAGATCTGGCATGGGGGTTGACGAATCCTTTTCTAATAGTGCGACTCAGGTTGGGATGGGAGGGAAGTTGAGATTTTTTTTTTGAGGAAGCTTTCGGCCAGACTTATTTTTAAAAATCAAAATGTGGCCCTGGTGAACTCAGCTTTTGAAGAGCTCAGTGTTAAAAAAAAAAAAAATGAAAATATGGAAATGTAATAGTCACCATCCTGACTTTCGCTGCTGGTTTAGGCAGTTACATTAAGGTCAGCCACTGGGTTGTAGCATGTATCGTCTTATCCCTTGAAGGTGATCTTGTGAGGTCACCTGTCTGGAAAAGTGGTATATTCATGCAGCAGCATTTCATTTCCCCCATTAGCCTTTTTAAAACAAAAAACAAAACAAAACAAAACCAAAAAAAAAAAAAAACCTTCCTCACTGATGAGTATCAGTGAGTGTGAGCACAGAAGTATCTAGGATCAGTTGTGGAATGTTACCCTCTGAGCCTTATTTTCCCAGATAAAATCAATGGTGCTGTGAAAGACTTGGAGTTTATTTTTAGTAGCTTCCTATTATTCTGTGAGTCATTTTGCATTCTCACTGGGGTCCCTTGCTCCAAAGCATTCTTTTGCATTTCTACTGTGGTCTCACTTTCTCAGAGATCTTGATTTGTCATCTGGATTTTGCATGTTTTTGTTGGCTACATGTTTTCTGTTGTATAAATAACTCTATTCCAGGAGAAGGTGACCACTCCCTTTCCTACTTTTTTTATTTTCATTTAAGTACAGCGACAATTAAAATTGCACCTGATACATACGATTCAGTCCAAACTGTATTCAGAGAGGCTAAATTCAGTCACTGTTAACCATTAATCTGTAGCTGTTGTTTTCCTTATTATACTAGAAATATTTTGATTCCATTTGGCTTTTCATTTTGTGGCAGAGGTGACTCCTAAAATTTGAAATTCCCAAACATTTAATATAACATTCTGTTTCTTACCATGTTCTTTCCTAGTTTTTATTAATATCTTTGTTAATATTCAGAAGAAACACTGTATAAAGTTATAATTATTCATTGAGTGGTCAGAAACTAATCCTGAATTAATATGAATTCTTCCCCACCTTTCCTCTATGAACAAACTTTGCTTCATATTCCAATTATCCTGAAACTTTGTAGCTGAGAGGCAGTAAATTGAGAGAGTATATAACATCAATTGCAGACATTTTTTGTTCTTTGGCAGGGGATTTTCTTGTAACTGAGGAGCTCTCTTTTTCTTTTTAAACACAGAATTGAAATGTTATGAAGGTATATAAAATAAAAGTGTATATTATATTCTTGGCACTGGTACTTTTCCAAGTGGCTCACAAGGTTTTGGTTAGTTTTTCTTTCCCTTCTTTCTCTGACCAAATCTCCACCTCTGGCTCACATTATGTACCCCTACAAACCTGTCACCCTACTGTCTGGGGCTTAGCCTGCAAAGATTTCCTCAGAATGATACAGGGTCAAAGATTTCCTCAGAATGATACAGGGTCGCACCCAATTTGCTCTGTAGCCAAGACCAGACATTTTTGTCACACCCCAGGGGTTACAATTACCAAGACCATCAGGTACACCTGGCAGAGTGATCCCAGCATCACTCCCTTGCTTCTCACCTGTCTCACCTCTGCCAGACCCCCCCACAGCCAGAAGTTTGCAAAGCAAACAAATCATATAGAAATGTTTTAAAAAGGGAGGGGCATCCTTGTGCACTTGCTCGTTTTCCCAGGATTTTTGTGTTCAGGTGACCATTTCACCTGTCAAATTGGCATTTGTGTCTAAATCGCAGCAACTGTCATGCCTCTAAGTGGCTAATTTGTTAGGATTCTAGGAAAATAGACAACAATCAAATGCTCATGTTAGTAATAGTAATAATGGGCAATGCCTGGCCCCATTCCTTAGTCTCCATGGATGTTAACCTATCGACCAAAGTGCAGCGTGTCAGAGCTATTTAGTGGGAGACTCAGCACTGAGCCCCAGACTGAGCACTCTTAAAGCCCTGCTCATAGTTCACCAGTACCCCATAAACCGTCTAGTGCTTTCCAGTCTCCAAATATACTGAGATTTCATGAATAGCAGCATCCACTCCTCTGTCTCTCGCGCCTGCCCTGCCTCCATTATTGTGGGGAGGGGGTGGTGATGTCTTTGAGAGGGAAGCAGAATGAACTTTTTTTAATCCTTAGAAAAGAAAATTACCCCCCTAAATATAGTCTTGCCCCCAAGGGACCTGGGGCCTAGAGAGGGTAAGTCACTTGCCAAGTTTCCACCAAGAAGAATGAAACCAAGTCTGTAGCCTAATACTCTTGACTTACATCAGCTTATAAATAGCAATGTAATAGGAACTTGACATTTGCTTGAGGTTCTAACTAAACTTTTATGTGTTTTGAGTGGACACGGGCGAAAAATTATTGATACTCCTTTAACAAGGCAATGGTGATATTGGTGGGTAAAGAGTCTAGCCACATTTTTGGAAAAGGCAGAAATAGTATTCAGTTGGAAGTTGTCTGTCAACTAAAGGGGAATGAGTATTTTGTGCAAAAATGTTACTGAATCAGTTAAATAGTATCATTTATTCTCCTTACCTCACAAAGCCCTGACAGCTTCTGCCTCAGTGTGGGCACCAGCACCCTATTCTCCAGAAGCATGTGTGGACTATGGGTTCTTGAGAGACTGGAAAACTTCATTGAAGGGATATTTTATTTTGCTTATTTTTTCTTCAGATTTATTAGTGCTGAATTTTATTCACATGTGAAGCCCAATATGAGGGTTTTTGTTTGTTTGATTGTTTAGTTTGTTCTTCTTGGTCTTATTATTTTACTTTTCTTCCTATTTTTATTTATGCATTTTAATGACACACATTTGTCCAGAGATTTTTGCAGCAAGTGCATTTTAAGAGCAAGAAAATATTAAAAAAATAAATAAAAAATAAAAAAGTTGCGCAGTAATTTTCA